GGCCGTGCATTCATGTGTGATTGTGCGCACTTGCCACTACACCACATGTTCACCTAATTGTAAGTAAGATTGATAAGTGGAGATTTAAAACCAATGGCACTTTATTTCGACTATTGAGGAAACGCAGAAAGATGAAGAATGGAGAGAGGGAGAAATCCAACCAGCACATGAACAAGTATTAAAAAAGGCCCCTCTAGAAAAAGAGAAAGGGAAGTAGGGACTGTATAAAGCATCAATTAGTGGAATTATATTATGACTTCTTCCGCATTTCTAGAAAATGGAACAAAATGTATTCTCTAGCCAAGAGATTTGAGAACAGCTTTCAATCTTCACGATTTTCGACACGGAACAGAGTTTATGAATACATTTTTATATTACAGGACGTGGTGTTCGGTATCGATGGAGGCTTGCTATACAACGGTACTTCAGCCAGTAATGTCGGTCATCCACCAGCGCTTAATACAAGTGTCCTTAATACAAAGGTTCGATCCATGGCTCACGTATAGTCCTTAAATTCTATTAATTTTCCTTGATAATCGATACAAGAACAGAGTTTTAAGATAGACGGGGTATTTGGATCATACCGGGCGTTTGGAGTTTACCATCAAATTTGATGAATCTTAATTTTGCTTACTTTACAAGCTTTCTCTAGACTGTATAGTTCTGTATCACGTGTCGTCCCTTCAGCAAGTGCAGCAACGTATCCATACGCCCCTTTCGCAAGCCAAAGTGATCCACTGAATCGTCTTCGCTTTAGGGACAAGAGGTCCAGTATTCCTTCGCTAGTAGCTTTCATGAAGAAGTCGCGTTGGTGGCCGTGCTGGTATTTCGCTTGACGTCCCGAGGGATCCAGTCTGTAAACGACATGGTTCAACGGTTATCACCATATCGCACAGCGTGTCCAGCCTATCTGATCTTCGATTTCTTGGCATAATCACCTTCATCCTTGATCGTCGTTCGATGACGGAGCTCTCAACTCCAGATTCCTTCTTGCACTTGCATGTATGGGGAAATTCTGAGCATCGTCCTTTCCAAAGCGCGTTGAGTAACGCTGATAGCATGTTCATCCTGCTTTCGTAGAGTCCAAGTCTCCGAGGCGTACGTCAAAGCAGGAAGGACCGCAGTGAGCGCGGAGCCGGATGCTCTTTGTCTTCTTCACTACTCGATATTCTTAAATGCTCCCCACGCGGCGCGTTTCCTTCTGCACAGCTCCGGAGCTAGGTCGTTCATCATGTTGACTTCCCGANCTAGATACACATAGCTAGAGCATTCGAAGATATTCGTTCCGCTCAAAGCAAAAGAAGCGCTAGGTACCGATTCGCTTCTCAGACCATTAGATTCCTAGAATGTTGACTGGACTTCCAATTGATAAATTTGCCCATGAAAGTCTTGTTGAATTGGGAGAAAAGGGATATTTAATCGTGTACCATATAATGCTAATATCAAAGTTTCAATTAACTAGCTGATGAATATTTATAGCGGTTACAGTCAAAGTTCGGTTGCAAGTCGACAATCTTTTCAGATGATTGGTATCCTTATCACAGATTCCATTCCAAATACATTCTTCGCTCACATCTTCAACAACGAGTTGGGAAATTTATACGAGAGGTAAATTGATTGTTCTCATCAACCCATTCGATTGAAGAGTCTTGGCAGTGTAGCGGTAGGGATCCCGGAAAACACTAGTACGTATTCGAGTCGCGTTTAAAGACCCATTCGATTACAGAACATGATTTGATTTTTTACTTTTCAAATAATTCACTGACAAAAGTAGAAAATTGTGGGTACAAATAAGGGGTTTGTTATGTGCAATTTCGACGTGGCCCGTATAAGTATGGTAGGATTCATTTCTAATTGCAGAAACTCTACCACTCTATTCTGTGTAGAACGGGTTGGTTATTTACGGCTCCCACGAATAAAAAAAAACCCTTCACATCGTAGACTGGTTGCTCGCTTTGGAACTCTCCAAACTATCGATCGTTTTGACAAATTTGAATCGCGGAAAATAACATGGCGCATTTTCGAGATGAACACTGTTAACCACGCTGGATGGACTAGCTTACAATCACGAGCGTTCAAAAAACGAAAATCCTCCATGTAAAATAAAATTTGGGGTTTTTGAAATGAAACCGTGATAAGATAATAAGCCGATAACGAGAACAAATCCAGGATTATGCAAAAAATCGTCCGGGTGCACTCCGCTCCGCTCGTTCGTCGAAACTAGGTCACGCCGCAGCCGTCGCACGCGGCGCGTCAGGCCGCGATTTTTGGCAGATGTCGCAGTTGTCAGTTATGCGTACGATTGGCGCTTGGTCAGCGGCAGTCAGCGTAAAGAGAAGTTAACAAGGACTAATGTACATCAATCGCTTGACCGACATTGAGTGGTTCTGCGATGTCATCTCATCAATGGGCTGGGCCGCACGCGAAGTAGGTAGAGTGAACTAGTTTCGACGGACGCGTGGAACGGACATACCCCAAAATTACCGTTATGTCCCCATTCTCCAGCAAAAACAATCGACCGGTATTTTTGTTCTTACTCGATGTTCTCACATGATAGTTCTCTTTCAGGATCGAACCTCAACATCTCCCCAAGCCGTTCAAGAAAATTGCTAGCATGATGTGTTCAAAATGCTTCCTGGAAATTTCTGCAAATCTCACAGAGTATGCCAGAACACCTATCCATTCGCTCCATTCCTTTTGTACCCATTTTTTGCGTGATTTTTCTCCCTTCGTGTTTTCGTGAGGCATACTTCTTCGATTGACTGTCTCCGAATCCAAAAAGCTATCGTGTCAGCTGTTCGAGAAAACTTTCTCAAAAATATTGTGTTTTAGACAGCCACGGGTCGAGATCAATGCTAAGCAAGGAGCTCGAGTTCAACTAGCCGGTGACGTACTTCTCCAGTTTCAAGGGCGTGAAGAGTTATACAATTTGATCAATGCTTCTACAAGACTTCATGTTACGGTAGGTACACTGTGACATCCTTCGGATTGCCTTCTAACACATTACGGTGCTGCTATACTGCCCAAGTACATACTCACACATTTCCCAAGCTGATGAAAAATCACATCGAAGATAGGTTGATAGAATATGCGGTAGAGAGAGTTTATTGGGTTGTAACATAAGTTCGTAGAGTTTTGTGTTAGAGTTATTTTACAACGAGTTATTTTGTTTTTAGCAAACTGTATGCATTCATTTGAAAGAGCTCTTTCTCCTCTACAAAACTGTTTTATTCGTTTTTAGGATAATTAAATTGTTCGTCTTTTTTCGGGCTTA